GATTCTAAGGTAGCCCTATAAGTACTAGCGAACCTACGTAAGCGGCGATTAGGCTAAGGAATAGTCCGATCTATTATAGAAATAGCCCGGTATATTAGAGATAACTATTAGATTAGTTTCTCTCTTTAATAGGTTCCTAGCTATAGTAGGATTAAAGGGAACGAAGAAGTAGATAAACTAGCTAAAGCTATGACTATACGCCTTAGAGAATATAGCTTTAAGCTACTAATATTACTTTAGTTCTAAGTAGTTAAGGACGTAATATATATAACCTAGGTAGCCGAATAGGAGAAATCGGATAAAGGATAATATCTTTAAAGTATTAATATAGTACCGCTAGGCCCTTATACCTAGTACCTATACGATAAGCTCCTACGGAGCTAGGCTAGCCTTCTTACCTAGCTACGAACCGGCTACTACTAGCTTAACTAATACCGTATACGAATAGGTTAGATTAATAATAAATAATACGAATACGGAAAAGTTAAATTAGTTTCCTACGTTCTCCTTAACTACTCTCTACTTTAGGAAAGCTAATAGAAGATACTCTAAGATAGTAGACTAGAAAAGAATAGCCTATTAGCCTTACTTAGCAGAAAGCTACTAAGTAATACCGTAGCTATCTAGAGTAAAGATAATAATTAGAAAATAATAGCATTACAGCTTTAGGCTATACTTAACTTTATATAAGACTTATAATAGTTTAAGAATAGAGATAATCCTATAGTATAGAACCTCTATACTACTACCCTCTCCTACCCTACTATCTGCTCCCTTTACCTTCCTTTTTCCTCCTAGATTGATAAATTATATATAGACTAGTAGCAAAACTCTTTAAATAGTCGTAGCCTATATATCGCTTAGGGCGATAGGTTAGGGTAAATGAATACAACTCAACTCAACTTAACTCGATCTAGGCTGGTTAGTACGTTCTTAGCAGGGAACACTAAATTTTTTTTCCCGCTTACAAGAGGTTTTCTCGCTGCTTTTCTTACTTTTAACGCAACAACCAAGGCCGGCGGCCTGGTACAAGTTGAGAGGGAAGATAAGCTAGCTGTGCTTGTTCTTTTGCAGTGCGATTTAAGGTCCTAGGAGCGCTATTAGTGGCGTTCCCTTAGTGGCGAGTCTGGAATGTCGAATCTTCGTTGGATAACTACGTGTATTACGATAATATTTCGCTGTAGTATTTACTACGCTCTCTTATCCACCAGATCTAATTGAAACATTATAAACATTATGTTATCCTGAGACTCGAAACATAAATAGAACCTTCTACCCTCCTCTACTAGCTGCTTCTAATCTCGCTAGCAATCTTCTCCGCAAGCATGTCTAAGAAAGTCAGTAAGTTCAAAGCGTTGAGAATACCGCGAGAATACTCACAAACAGTAGCGACAGGATGACCCGGCGGGAGGAAAGGAAACGCGGAAGCGTCCACAACCCTCAACTTATTCACGCCAATGACCTTTGCCTTTGAGTCGACCACGGCCATCGTGTCGTTCAGTTTCCCCATGGCGCACGTCGCGGCCGGATGAAAAATAGTACCGAAGCTCTTCCTAATGAGCGCGAGCAGCTCGTCGTCAGTCTGCACAGACGGGCCAGGGAAATACTCGTCGCCGATCAAGATCTCCTTCATCTTCGGCGTCTCAAACAGTTGGCGCACGCGCTTGTACGCCGCGACGGCCATGGCCTGGTCGCCCGGATGGGACAGCCAGTTGGGGTTGATCAGCGGCTGCACGCGCATGTCGGGCGACTGGATCGAGATGTTGCCGCGCGACAGCGGCGTGATCAGGCCCATGGCCATCGTTGCGTAGTTGTAGTCGTCTTTGGGGCCGTCGGGCGCGTTGACAAAGTTTTGCTGATACCCGAAGTAGGCGCCGACGGACAGGTATTCGAGGTCAGGCCAGTCATCGGGGAAAGTGGCAAATGCTTCCTTGGTTTCCGATGACCAGTTGCTTTTCAGGGAGGATGGCAGCTTCTCCCACGCTAGGATTTCACGTATCAGATACTGTTCTTACAGTGACGCAGCTGACTTACCTAGGAAGTCTCCGCCATTGCTAGCAAGGAGACCATCTTGCTCGTTCCTAAACTCCTCAACGGCCTCGTAGTACTTTTCAGTGTTGGAGAGCGCAGACGCCGTAATGACATCGACACGCCAGCTCGGACCGAAGAGTATGTGGTCCTTCGGAGCGTTTTCAGCAAGACGGACTGGATTTTAGGGACGGCATCACGACTTACCCACATGTTCTGACCGACGCCAGGCCGGTCAGCAACTACAGGAATGTCGAATTCCTCCAAGGTCTCCCTCGGACCCACACCGGAAACCATCAAAAGCTGCGGGGACTGGAACGCGCCTGCGGAGAGGATGATTTCCTTCTTGGCGGACAAGGTGTACTGAAAGCCCTGAGTGTCGACTTCGACGGCGACGGCATCCTTGCCCTCAAAAACAACTCGCGTGGCCAACGTATCGACGTAGACTATTAGATTGTCCCTCCCCATGGCGGGGCGCAAAAACGCCGTCTCGGAAGAAGCACGGGCACCAGTGTCGTGGTGGATGGTGAGAGTTTGGAAGGATGAACCCAGCAGCTCTCCGCTCGTGAAACCCTGCCGTGGAAAAATTCCAATCTGCTTCAGGCCTTCCTGCACCCATGTCGAGAAAGCCTGGGCGTAGTTGGACCAAGTCACAGGCAGTGGTTGTCCGCCTTCAGCAAGGTTCTCCTCGTCGTACAGGGGCGTGGCGTTAAGGCCCCTTTTGGCAACGTCGGGAGGAGTAAAGGTCAGACTGTGCTTGAAATGCGGCAGGAGGTTATCCCAGGTGTAGCTCTCATCACCAACCGCGTCGGCCCACATCTGGTACGAGGACTTGGTGCCTCTGTGGTAGGCCATGTAATTCCGCGCCGTACAACCACCGAGCGTCTTTCCCCGCGGATAATGGACTACGGCATCGTCAACACCCTGCTAATTTCAGCATTTTCACCAGCTAAAATTTGGAGCGGCGTACTGCTTGAGGCGTCGTCGTAAAGTTCCAATCCACCAGAGGATTTACATCCAACGGCGACTTTCCAGCCCAGTAAATATCGTCTGACGGAAGCTCGCTATGATTGCCATTGGTGATTTCGTAAAAGCTCCCCGCTTCAATCACGGCAACGGATTTGGTTGGGTCTTCCGAAAGCCGGGCGGCAATGGTTAAACCAGCGTTTCCTCCACCTACCACGATATAATCATAAGTTGCATTGACGTTTGGTGTTCCAAAGCTGTTCCCCAGCAAGCTGCGGGCTTGGTGTTTATTGTTCGGCTCACCAACAGCGTGAGAAAGCAAAGAGAAAGCAAGGAGGTGAAAAAAACCTCTCTTAAGGAGAGCCATTGTGAGTTGAGTGATACTTCCCGTCACGTCCTGGTACAGCACAACTTTTATATTCAATCCCAGTAGCCTCGGAGAGATCAGATCTTAGTCTAGCCAGCAGGTTGCAGCGCATCCGAACCTCTCAGAATAGCATCTGACCTCACGCATACGGGACCAACAAACGAACCCGAGTCAGCAGGTTATATCCAGCTGTCCGTGTGCGGCGTCACTCGGCCCCCTGCTCCGCGACGTGCCGATTTCCTATTACAACATGGCAGATAGAGGGCCCAACTGCTTCGGGCCTTTTGTCTCTTGCCACGTTGATACCGTGACCAAGGTGCAAGGTATCGTGATGGTGATGGCACGTTGTTGTGGATGCAGTGCAATATCTGGTTGGTCACTTACAATGATCTAATGGAACCAACACATTGTTGGCGTTTGACTTGCCATTTCTAGCATGTTCCCGTCTAACCCTGAGATTTAAGACTGACGAGTCTGAGCCTTCACCGCGTCTACTAACGCCTGCTGAGCTACAGCTCTCGCTCCCTCTACAGCGTCATAGCTGCTGACTGAAGTGCCTACGGGTACATCTTCCTTCCCTTCAGCAAGCCCTTCGATGGTCTTTTTCACGTACAGATCAACCGGCATGCCCCAGGATCGGGGGTTTTCCACGCCAGGTTGGTCATCGTGCAATTCGGCTAAAAAATCAGTCTCGATTCACAATGAAAGATGAAGACAACCTACATTGCACCAACGGAGGAAAGAGCTCGACAATCTTGATCGGACTCTCGCTCAATTGCTGGCGAAGGCAGAGAATGAAATGATGCATGGCTGCCTTGCTGGCGCAGTAGTTCGGGACGCGCGCGAGAGGGACAAAGGCGAGCCCCGAAGAGGTGCTTGGACAGTGAGTAAGCAAAGCAACAACACTGATGATAAGCTCACTTACTACATGAGGGTGCTCGGTCCATCCTTGGCAAGAAGAAAAGGCAGAAAGGCTTTGGTCAAGGCGACAATACTGACGTAGTTGACACTGATTTCTTCCTGGACGAGGTCAATGTCGACGGTCTCGGGCTTGGAAAAGTCTAGAACGCGCTGGATTCCGGCGTTGAGGAGAACACAGTCAATGTCGGGATGGTCGGCTGTGATACTACGAAGATGTCAGCCGGACGATTTTAGGAACTCCTCCGACAAGGCTTGTCCGGATGAATGCAGTCCTCCGGTAGTGCTTAGGCGGGTAGGTATGATCGACACGTCCGACTGGAATCACTCGGATGCGGAACAGGCATACCTCTTGGCAAAGCTTGGAATGTCGGCGACGCGTGAGACGTCAAAGCTGTGGGCGAAAGCCTTGTCTTGGCCATGCTGTGAGACGAAATCGTCGAGGAGGCTTTGGCGGCGTCCAACGGCAACGACCTTGGAGCCGTGAGCAATAAAGCTGTCGGCAAGGGCGCGGCCGATTCCACTGGTGGCACCCAGGACGAGGACTTTGGCGTAGGGGAATGTCATGGTGGTGGCGGCGGGATGAGATGAGATGGGCGGAAAGGAGGGGGGAGGTAGCGATGGGCGGACCTGAAGTATTCGGCAGGCGCGCCGGGACCCGAGTAGCTTATGCTCACATCACTTTTCTTTTTCGTCGTGCATCGACTTTGCAGATACGGGAAGTGGTAAATTAATAATTACTCGTCCTGGCTTAGCACCCGCATGCGCACCTTGGACTTGCAGTTGATCAGCGCCGTCATGACATGGCCTACCGCATCCGGCTGCACGTCCTCCAGAATCAACGTCACCTTGCTCTCGGCCGCCCGCGCACTCGGCGCTGGAGGCATCAGGCTCCACAACGGATCCAACTCCATGCCATCGGCCCAAAAATCCCCCTGCGGATCCAGCGGAGTGTCCAGAGCCCAAGATATGTCGCTCTCCTGCAAGAAGCCCTGTTGGAACGTCTCGTCGGCCTGCGGTGAAGTGCTGCTGCTGCAGTCTGCGCGCTGCCGGTCGCGCACCAGCTTAGTGTGCCTGCGAGCATGTGAGAAACCTTCGCCTTCACCTCCGTATGTGCTACCCACCTGTTCTTGATGTCGGTGACTGATCTCCCCGGAAAGGCCAGGTCCCGTATCGTGGTCCAGCTGTGCCCGTGCATCTGCACCTCGGCCATGAGCTTCTCTTCGTCTTGGCTTGTCCACCCAAGCCGTTCCAGACTGGGATCGAGGAAGTTCTGCCAGCGTTTGGCGCACTCTGCAGCTTCTGCGTCAGTTATGCGAACAGATGCGCCGCTTCGGTGGTATACGCACGATCGGCGTGCCGCGAGCCCACGGCTTCTGCGATCAGAGTCCACTTCAGCCCAAACTGGTTGGCAGCATCCACGAGCCGCTTGTCCTCTTCGGCCGTCCATGCGCCTTTGCGCAGACACTCGCTCAGTTTGCTCCATCGTTTGCGGCAGTCTTTGTTCGTGCGGCCTGGCAGTTTGGCGGCAATGCGATTCCAGTCCTTGACCGCGCCCTGAGAGACTACATTCCGTCAGCCATGCTTTTGATTTTGCCTCTCCGGCGGCTTTACGTTGACGTTCGGCCTCCCGTCGCAGGGTCCTGTCTTCGTTCTCGTTCCACCATCTCCGAGTCCGCGATGTGGCATTGACAGTTTCACTCATGATCGGCTCGTAATGCCACAGACAGCAAAGACGCCGTTGCTTGCGCCGAGCTTAATATGTACTTGTGTGAGCGGATAAGGCTGAAGGCTTCCCTCCGCCTGCTGGCACTGCATCCCTGCACGGTGCCTTCGGCGTAGCTCGAGGGCGCCACGCCGAGCTCTGACGCCTTCTTCACTCGACGGTGGCGTATAGCTCTTTCTACCCTCTACCAGCCGAATTGCCATCGTTTGCGCTAGCCTGCTCAAAATAGGACCTCGTGTCAGAACTCATAGTCACCTGGCCCGATCCGTAGCCAGCGTGTCCGTTCGGCCCCGCCATGGCCGTCTTGGCTTGACGTTGTGGATCTGGAGCGCGTCTTCCCGAAGAAGCTTTGGATTTGTTCCGAGTTACTCTACTGGTGTCGTGAATTATTGACCGTCCTACATTGCGCCTTGATTATACACTCTTTAGCCTTTAAGCTAATGCTAAGCTATCGCGAGAGAAGCATATGTCCGACGACGCTCTCGGCTGTCCATTTGCCTAATACGTATTAAACGGCCGCTGTCGCTGCCCTCTACGCCCTCTTACGTGTGGACGGCCTGTTTGTCGGTCAGGCCGAACTGGTCTGACTGGCCAGTATCTCACTGCTTCGTATCCTACCCTGTTGGAGGTCTGGCTTGGACACCTTTGGGTGGCTGATATGGTAATGATATAGCGGGAGCCACGGAAATGTGAGAGCGAAAAACAGAAGAGGGGCCATAATGCGAGATGGCTGGCTTGACTATTAAAATGCTCGCTACCCCCGCACCGATCTCGCCAATGTATTGGATGTTCACTCGGCTGCTCGGCATATTGCATGGGTATTACGTATTATGCAGAGGATGCATCAGTCACGTGCATATACGGCTGTGAGCTGACAAGGGCACGAAGGGCTTAGTAAATGCTGCGGGGTCTGCATCACTCAGACCACCCTCTTGCTCAGGCGAGCCTTCAGCCCTTTCTGCGTAACGAACCACAAGTTTTCGATTGTCCAACCCTCGGATTCGATAGGCTCAATCTTGATCTCGTCAGCCGTGCCTCTTGCAGTGTTAGGCTTACTTACATTATAGGCTTGGACGAGGGAGGGAATGAGCTTGAACATCTCCAAGTAGGCGATGTGACGTCCCAGGCACTGTCGCTTGCCTGCGCCAAACTGACCGAAAACGAGTTAGCGCGTCTGCACAAGCGAGCCACCGGATGCGCCTACCGTCAGGATGGCGTTCTCCATCTCTTTCCTTCTGCCGTCGTCGCAACACCACCGGCCAGGGTTCCATCGCTCTGCGTCGTGTCCAAAAATCGCCTTGTTTCTGTTGGCAACCCATGCACTCATCCCAACCACCGTCCCCTCCTCCAAGTACTTTCCGCTGATGACTGCGCCGCCCGCCGGCACCACGCGCTCGAATGGCAGGCCAAAGGGCGGGTGCATGCGTATGCCTTCTTTGATGCAGGCAGTAAGGTATGGCAACTCGTGGACTTCCTTCCACTTGCACGGCTGGGACAGGTCCGCGCGCTCCAGCTCCCGCCGCAGCTCTGCCAACGTCTCGGGATGATGGAGCAAATTGTACCAGATGCAGCGGAGAACCACCGCCGTCGAATCGCTCCCGGCCGTGATGTTGGAGAAGACCCATACGGTGACAGCCCTGAAGAAAAGCTTAGCATGTGAAATCCCTCACCACGTGGACACCAACCAATCCGGAACCGACGAGTCTTTCGCTTGAGCCTCCACGAATCGAGACAGAAAGTCTCTGGGATTGGTTTCGCTTGCCTCATCCCAGTCTTTCTCGGCGGCTTGTCTCTCCAATACTCGCTGTCGCGCAAACGCCATTATTGGAGACGCTGTAGATGGCCAAAAGCGGACGAGCAGGGGGTTCTTGTTCCAGAACCTGTCGATCCACGGCATTTGTGTTACCTGCGTCGCCAATCGTCAGCCACGCGATCCACGCCACGTCGCAAGGTCACCTACGGGCGCAGCCGTCTTGAAGTGTTCCCAGATCTTCTCCATGACACCGTCGACGTCGCGACCCTCCTTCAGGAAGCCGAATTTCCTGGAAAAGGTCAGTTCTCCCATGACGTCAAATGCGAACATTTGCAGCCACTGTCCAAAGTCACACGCTTCGCCGGTCAGCACGAAGCGGCGATCAAGCTGCTCCAACAGCAGCTGAATCGTGCTGTCGACGTACGGCTCGAAAGTGACCAGGTTACTCATGGAGAAGATTCCGGAGATGGGCTTCTTGAGCGCTTTGTGGATGTCTTCATCGTCGGTCCCGAACAAGCTAGGCAACGACTTTCCCTTTGAGTACGGCAGGAGGACCTTGTAAAATTGAGACTTGACCGAATCAGCTTGGTTAATCACATTATCTCAAAGAACTAACCTTGACGAATCCCCGCCCCTTGAGCGGGTATATTGTGGGGATTTGAGTCGGATCCGAACAGGAAACCATGTTAGGGCCAAATCTGACGAGGTCACCGTATTTCTCATGAAGTTCTATGTGCTTATTGTGAGCTCTCTTTGAGAGAACCCAGGAAACCCGTGGAAGATTCGAAAACGCCGCGAAAAATGGCCCTGGGACATGGCGTAGCTTCAGGTAGTCGCTGATGATGCGATGTACAAGTAACGAGATAAAAAGAGACGGAATAAACAAAAGAACAATCTTTGTCAGGGTCGCATGCTCCCAGACCAACAATTGTTGATCCATTTTGGCAGGTGCTCGAAGGTTTGTCAGTTGTCCGCAATCCTTCCAGAGCCCTCTTTTTTCTTCGAACGGATGAAGGACTCTCCGAAATTCTTTTATCTGAACAATGCAGGAAGCCTTACATATGGTGGCAATGTCTAGATCTCTTGGGCCCGAGTAAGATCGTATTATTACCTCAGCGTCCCAGGACCCGGCTAATATTTCGGAACGACTCGGTCCCGACACGCAGAGCATTCGATTCACCGATCTCACTCAGACTCGGCGACATAGTAACTCCACAGATTCAACGTGATAATCCGAAGGCGTTCTAACACAGAAGCTGAACATTCGTACACTACTACAGCATTAACTAGGCTTTTCCATACGAATCCGTGATCCGCTTGATCATGTGCTCCTCCACAGTTGGAGATCCGGTGCTCTCGCTCCCATCCAACGGCGCCAGAGAACAGTCGATATTTCCATCAAAGAACAGCACAATCGAGTAGCGATCTCTGGAGTTCCGATTGATGACTCGGTGCCAGCTGCTCTTGTATACGCCCTTCGTCCACATGGAGAGCATGTCCCCAACATTGACCACAAAGGCTCCTTCCACTGGAGGCACGCCGATCCACTCTTTCGTAGCCTGGTCTTGTACCTGAAGGCCACCGTTCATGTCTTGGAGCAGAAGCGTAATTGCACCGAAGTCGGTATGCGCACTGGCCCCCAACTGTCTCTTGTCAAGAGCTTCCTGCGGCGGATAGTGTAGCAGACGCATGGGCGCGGCTGGTATGCCGGATTTGAACTCGTCGAAGATTCGAGGACCGTATGGAAGGCTCTGGGCAATGATGTCCAGTATGGCCAAAGATAGACCGTACACATCACGGAAGTAGGTTTCCACCGGATCTTGGAATGACTCTTTGGGCAGCACGGAAGTAGACGGCCAAACATTTGGGCCCATGTTGAACCTTTTGGCCTGCACCGCGGGGTGGTCAAGCGGAACTTCTGGGCCAGTGAAGTAACTCTTTATATGTGTCAGCGAGATATCTTTGCCTACTTGCTTTTAACGTACCTCTTTCAGGTCCGGCAGTGAATCATCGTATTTCTGTGACCCGATCGGGTCGTAGCCTCTGTGGCCGGGGTGTTTGCCAAAGTGCACCTTTAGCTTTTCCTCAACGGGTAGAGAAAAGAATTTGGCTGAAGCAGCAAATGCGGCGTCCTGGACTTCTTTGCTGATTCCGTGGCCGGTGATTTGGAAGAATCCCGTGCTTAGGCATGCTTTCCGGATTGTTTCCACGACTTCAGTCGCAGCAGTTGACGAGGAATCTTTCAGAAAAGGAGAGATGTCGACGGTTGGTACCACGTGGTCTTGGGATTGTTTTTGCGAAACGCTTTTCGTTGAGGAAAGGTAGCGCTGAAACATGGGAGACGCTACTCTTGTGGTCTTGCGTGGGAAAAGCGTTTGCCGATATATGCTCCTTGTGCCATGGGCAAACATTCGTGTTTGCATTGCCATGTTGAGGTAGACCAAATCTACAGGGTGAAAGCTAACCGAGGAAAAAAACAAATATGATGCTCATTTCTCCATGGGCTTTATATTTAATTGTGTCGTGCATAAGCACTAGGAATATATGCCTTCCGAAGAGACCCGCGTTGGGTCCTCACTACAAGACACATATTCCAGATTTTCTGTTGAACCTGCAAAATGTCTAAAGACGTCTACTAGATATTAAACCCAACCTAAGTTAATATTTCTAAACACCAAAAACCCACTAAATGTGATTTATTATTCTTTAGACCAAGGAGTGAGCTAAAGATTGTTTAACCTTTCTACCAACTGCGAAATTGATAATGTGCGAGATGTACCATCTAGACGTGACATCCTCCTATTGCAACATGAACAAAAAGAATGGATAGTGTGATAACGGAGACGCCTATTAAACGCCACCGGCAAGCACTTTGCAACGCAAGAATTCGTAGCCAGAATTGACAACATCCCACGCCGCCTCATCCAGGCTCCGGGAAAGATCGAATAGATGGTTTCTTCCTTCAACGAGAGAGATCTCAGCGTCAACACCGCTGGATCGCAGTGCTTCGTACGCTTGTTGAGATTGTTGCCAAGGGATCAGATCGTCATTGGTTGGATGAATGAGATAGGTCGGGGTGCGATAAGTCCCTTTGCGGATCTGGGCAAGAGGACTTATACGCTTTATCTGATCAGGAGTTGGCATCTCAGCCGTGTTGCGATCCTCGTCGGACTTGTTCAAGCCGTTGATGAGGATCGGTAGTGTCTGGCCCTTCCAGTTCATGTGCAAGGCGATCCTCGACCTGGGATCAGAGGTACAAAGCCAGCCATCTTTGGCCCTTTTGTTACGAGGCACGTTGTAGGCTGTGAGTGGCTGGTCTTGGAGCCCTTCAAAAGGGTCATACTCCATCTGGGCTGCCTCCTCCGAGCCTTTGGGAATGTTGGGTTGTTTCCAAAAGTCCGATTCGTAGTCGGTGGGACAGTAGAAGGCGAGTACAGCCTCTGGTGGCTTGATCCCTCGCTCTAGAGTAGTCCAGGCAAGGGACATGGCTAGCGTGCCTCCGGTTGACCAGCCCACAGCCACAACGGAATCACCGTTCGGCGTGACGTCTGGACGCTGCAACTTCCGGGTCGGAAGAGTGTGTCTTGCCCAAGCCAGTGCATCCCGAACGTCCACAATGGGGCCGTCTTGCAGGGTCACCTCTGGACAGAGCCGGTAGTCGACGCTCACCGGAAGGAAACCCTTTTCGATCATCAACTGGATTTGCTTTGGCCTGAGATCTTTCCTGGAAAGCATAATGTGCCCACCTCCGTGGATCATCAAAGCTGCGGACAAATGTCAGCAATGTCCATAAACTTTCACAATTTCGCTTACCAATGGGTCTTTTCCTTCCGACCAAGTCAATACTCTCCGGATAATACACATCCGCCTCGAGCGAGATGCCCTCTGCTTGCTTGAATACAATTGTTTCCGTCAGTGGGTAAGCCGTAGTCTGTCCTGGCTGTGTTGGTTCGGGTAAATCCTCAAGGTTGGAGGGCTTCGAAGCGCAACCCATGATGACACGCAGTTGGTCAGACTCCTCAGAATCTCCAACGCTCCAATCGACATGTGCGAACCCTGCACTTGTCAGGTCCTTCTGCCACAAGCTTTCCTCTGCGAGAACGTGCTTCCGGCCATCCGAAAACAGCCACCACCCTTCAAGTAGGCCGAAGACGAGGTCGAACCAGTACAGGTTTCGAGTAAGCTCAACAAGGCAAAGTATTCCATCTGGCTTCAGAAGCTCCCGGATGTGAGTAGTGGAATTGACCAAATCTCTCGTGGCATGGATGCAGTTGGTGGAGATGACGATGTCGTACTGGCCCAAAACATCTGTCGGGGGAGCTTTCTCAACATCCAGGACCATGTATTTCATGGAGCTGTTGCCCGAAAACTTCCTCTTTGCTGCGGCAACGAGGGATGGCGAGAGGTCGGAGAAGGTGTACGTGAAAGGCACTCCCTTACGAGACAATTGTTCGACAATGTGCTTTGTAGTCCCGCCGGTGCCGGCTCCGAGCTCGAGAATACGGCACTCTGAGCCAGAACAGCTCGTCAAGAGCCTTCCAAGGAAGTTTGCCAGCAATTTGGTTCCGGCGGAGAACATTGGAGCATTTGTATACACATCCTCCAGTAGAACTTTGCTGTCTTTGTTTCCAAAGATGAGATGGATTGGATCAACGGTACCGCGGAGGCAATCTGCGAGCTTCGAGCCGGTAACATTGAGAAGCTTGTGCTCCGACAGGTGTTGAGGGAAGTCGCGCAGAATTCTTTCGTGTAGGATTGCTGCTCTTTCCGACGGGACGGCTTTGGACGTTCTGACTATTCCAGATTCTTGTCTTTTGACAAAAGAAGACTCTTCCAGAAGGCGCCAGTATTGTTGCACGACCTTGCTGTGCTTGGGGTTGTACGAAGGAGACGGCAATAACTCCCCGAATTTGGCGTATGCGAGCGAACAACCAAGTCTTTCAAAAGCTTCAATGACGTACGCTGCCACCAGCTCTGCTTGACGTGGGTATACATCCTTGCGGAAGCCAAGGAATTGCGTTTCTGCCGCAAATTGATCGTACGTGTCCCGGACATCATTGAAGCATTCGGCAGCCAGACTAGAGAAAGAGAGGTGAGGACTGCTTGGCAGTTTGCTGTCGCTAATATTAGTGTCAGCGATTGGTACATCACTCATTTCCTGCGGTGTCATTGTCAAAGGAGAAGTCCCCGGCGTAGAAAGCTCGTCCCACTCTTGGCGCCCTTCCCCTTGCGGTATGACTATCTTGGCAAGCGACTCCATGGTCAAGTCGGGAGTGAAGCTTGTCGGATCAACCTTAACCCCAAAAGCTTTTTCGATATCGCTGCTGACTTCCATACTAAGTAAGGAATCAAGCCCAGCATCACACAGCTTTGTGTCTCCGGTTATATCGTCCATTTCCAAGTGGTCCGCAACAAGCTTTGAAAGCTTTGCGTGCAGGGCAGTGCTTGAGGGATATGAATTGGCCCTTAGTTTTGCAGTCCTCGGAACCTCGAGTTCAGATACGCTGGAGATATCCGTAGAACTTTCAGAGTCGCTAAGAGATAGGTCTGGAGAGTCAAGTCCTGACTTGGACTGCAGGTATTCACAAATTGATCCAATGTCCCTCATGCTTTGGAGCTCTCCCGAGGTCAAATCAACACTAAAGTGTTTCTTTAGCTCAGCCAAGAGTTCGGTAACCATTAAGGAATCGATCCCGAGGTCGTCGAGGGTAGCTCGCATGGTGATATCCTTGGGGTCCAGGTCCGCCATTTCGCTCAACATCGCGCTGACTTCCGACTCCACAGATCGTCCCGGCATCGCTGGTGCGACGGTACGCTTTGGTTCTTTGATGAATGCTGGGGCGTCTTCCTTCTTGTATGTTTTGCGATTAGTGCTGCGAACCGTGGCCGGTTTCTCGAGACCAATGCTAGGTTCTCTTTCTGAAGATGCATTCACCTTCGAAAGGACTTTTGACAATGAACTGGTAAGCACTCTGGTGAAGTGGACGCCAGTGATTGTCATAACCATTGTCTTGCTGGTGTTGTCAAAGACAAAGATGTCATTGACCATTGTCTTCCCCGTCGTCTCGGCAAAGCTCGCGTATACAGTCCAGGAACCCGTAACTGCTTCTTTGTGTCGGAACGCAGGCCCAGGTTGGATCTGTTCGATCTTTGTGCAAACCAGAACTTCCCCGTCAATGTTGTTTTGCATGATGTTGGCGTGAATACCAGCCACCTGAATGAAATTGTCGACAGCGATGGGGTCAGAAACCGTTCGGGGGAGTCCTGGCTGTTCGCTCGCTATAGAGACAGTGCCGGCTACCTCATCCATTTGGGATGATATGGATTGGACTCCGCGGTAGTAGTCACTGTAGTTGACAATTTCTCCAAAAAGCTTGTAGATGACCGAGCCCTGCATCGCTTGTGCTTTGGGACTTGACAGCAGCGCTTGACATCGATCAGGCCCGATCAATCGAGCGTAGCGAGCGAACTCGGCGCTTAGCCTAGTGTTGGAAGGAGTCCGCAGTTCAATTCTACCAGAAGCATGCTTCGACACTTGCGATGACGCAGCCGATGGATGACTTTGGAGAACAAATGTCCACTTTCTGGGATTGCGCTCATCCGGACTGAGGCAGAGATTAATGACTCGGCTTGCATCAATTCCCAGAGGGGACAGAATTTCAAGGTCCTGAACTGATGGTATGTTACTGTCATCATCGGTCTTCTTAACCAACAGCTCCGCTGCTCGGGCTGCCAATTCAATGTACAATGATGCAGGACAGAGGTTTTTGCCGAGGACAGCATGGCCTGAGACGTAGAGAACAAATTCCTTGCTTTGAGGGTCGACAGAGAAAGTAGCAGTTTTTCGTCCAGTGCTCTCGATTTGGACCAATTTCAGCAGTCTGGGTTCCTCTTTGACGGCTGGTTTGGTTAGTTTGGTGCCTTCATCGAAGCTTTCCTTGTATTCCAGCCAGTGACGGGACTTTTCAAATTGGTACGGAGGGAGCTGATACGAAGGCAAATCCAGGGCCGTGTTTCCATGGTATGGCCAGAAATGCACATTGTTGCCCGTATTCCAAAGACCGACTGTGCTGTCAACAAGAGCTGCTGTAGCCTTTGATCCCGCCAGATCAAGACTCTGGAAAGTATGGGTTGTCGAAGATTGGCCCAATGCACGACGGGTCATGGCAATAATTGGCGATCCAGACCCCGCTTCAAGCCAGTAACAGGCACCTAACCGCTCCTGAATTCTACCCACGGCATCCGAGAAGAAGACTGGTCTCCGTGACTGCTCCGCCAGGAGGCGAGGCGTAACCGTAGGCCATGATTGCCCCTCGGAGCATGTTTCCAATGGAATGGCTGGAGAATTGAAAGTTAACTGCGCAGCCAAGGCTTCCAATTCCGGTAAAAGACTGTCCAGGAATTGTGAATGGTAACCGCGCGGAACGTCCAGCCTCTTTGTCTTGATCATTCCCAAAGAAGACCGTCGGTTGATGATAGCGTCCTCGAGCGACTGTATCGACGCCTCGCTGCCAACGAGAACATGGCTCGATGTTGCATTGTAGCAGGCGACCTCGACCTTATTTTCGTGTCCCAGTGTATTAGAGAGAGATATCAGCTTCGAAACAGTATCGGCGTCAGCTTCCACAGACAGCATAGCACCCTTTTCATTGCCCCATAGCTCTTCTATGCAACGGGCTCGGCCAAGGACGAATTTCAATCCATCTTCCAAGGAAAGCACGCCGGAGATGCACAGGGCTGTCAGCTGGCCGAAGCTGTGACCAACTACAGCATCCACCTGTAGGCCGCATTCGATCCACGCCTTTGCGCATGAATACTGCAAGGAGAAAAGCATGCCATGCTGGCTGACGATTTGCTCCGTTGAGGCTTGGAATATATCAGGGTAAAGGCTTTTCCCCGTCATAGACTGGAAGACCACATCGCATTGGTCGAGGTGTTTCTTTAGGATTGCGGAGGAGTCGTACACTTGTTTGGAGAGCGTAGCGGCCTTCCCCGTCTGACCTCCGAAGGCGAGCACAACGGGTTTCCTTTGTGGTGTTGAAAGAGGCGATGTAGCACCATTCGCACACAGCTCGAGCTTTTGAACAAGGTCATCTAAATCATCCGCTTTCGTGGCGAAGGTAAATTTCAGGTCGCGGTTCTGCTTGGCAGCCAAAGTGTGGGAGGTCGAAGCTAGGAGTCGCGTCGCAGGAACGTTATATTTCATGCGGAGTATAAAGTTCTTGATACTCCTACACCGACTTTGAAAGCTGGAAGTAGTGTGTGCGGTCAGGATGATAGGATAAGAATCCAATGGAACATTCGCTTTTCTCTCAATCTGGTTGGCATTCAGCTGAGACACAACCAAAGATGCGTTGCTCCCCGCTGCTCCGTAGTTGTTGACACATGCTACTTTGTAGCTTGCGTTCCACTCCTGGCTGGTGGCTGGTACGGCCATGCGGTCAGGGTGCAGTGGCGGAATCCTCGGATTTAAGGTCTTGAAATTTGCTTGTCTTGGAATGACACCACGCTGGATCATTAGCACCACCTTGATAAGTGCAGCGATACCCGATGCAGCCTCAGTGTGGCCAATGTTCCCTTTCACCGAGCCCAAGTGCAGCATATGCGATCGCTGTGGCCCTCCGAACAGCTGACGGATGCTCGAGCATTCAATCGGATCACCAACAGGCGTTCCGGTTCCATGAGCTTCGACGTATGTAACTTGCTCTGGTCGGATACCCGCACGATCCAAGGCTTTCTTGTACAACTCGGCTTGCGATGAAGCGTGTGGCACTGTAATGGGCGTACAGTTTTCGTTTTGTCCTACCGCGGAACCCGAGATGACTGCCAGGATGTTGTCTCCCTCAGCGATTGCAGAAGGCAACTTCTTCAATACCACGGCACCCACACCCTCACCACGACAGTAGCCATCTGCTTGAGCATCAAAAGCTCTCGAGGCACCTGTTGGACTAAGGAATGATGCAGCACCTAGGTTTTGGTACAGATTAGGGCTCGTGATGACATTGACACCTCCTGCCAATGCCATGGAACATTCGCCCGTCGCAATTGCTCTACAGGCGGAGTGTATCGCGACGGCAGATGAGGAACAAGCAGTGTCATAAGTTACTGAAGGCCCGGTCCAACCGAAGTGGTGGCTGACCTTGCCACTCACGAACGCACGGAGCGTTCCTAGAGCAGAAAATGCAGTGGGTTGATGAGATCCCACATTGTCTTCATAATCAACTGATCCAACACCAATGTAGCACCCGATGTCTCGAGTATTGCTGTTTTTTCCCAGGTAGCCAGACTCTTCCAGCGCTTCATAAGCGACTTGGAGAAGTAGTCTCTGTTGAGGATCCATCGACATGGCTTCTCTTGAAGACTTTTTGAAGAAGCGATGGTCAAATACCGCGGGGTCGTTCATGAAGTTGCCCCAGTACGGTCCCTTCATACCGGTGTGCCGGAGGAGGCTTTTCGGAGAGAATCTGTCCTCCGGAAATTCTCGAGACATGGATTTTCCAGCTTCGATGATGTTCCAGTATTCTTCAAGTGAATCGGCTCCGGGAAACCTACAAGCCATTCCGACTATAGCAACGGCTTCATCTGAAACGGCTGGCATTTGGTCCGATGCGCTACCATTGGCAAGCGGCTGAATTTTGAGGTTAGGTGCTCGATGCGTCGACCGTGGTAAACACTCCGAAAATCCCGCCGTGAGTACAAGTGATTGACCTTGGTTTCCAAGTTTGGTGATAGCCTTCGAGATGGTCAAGTGCCACTGAGATTGATGGCATAACAAGGAGTCAATGGCAATATCTGAGAGAGAACCAGATACAATGACTTCACCGTCAATGTTTGATCGCAATGGCAGAACAAGGTCCTCGGCAGAAGGTAGTTGAAGCTCTTCTATAGCCAGACACAGCTTTTTGAGGGTTTGCGCCGAAGACTGGTGTGCGGCAATATGGAAGCGGCCCGTTAAGGGGATTTCCTTAACACTGAATCCTGTCGCCAAAAGGTGCGCATGAAGCGCCGCAGCATCTGCCTTTGGCGCTGTAATGGTGGCGGCCTCTGAATCTGAAATTACAGACACATATGCCTATATATGTTAGGGCGATGCATTGAAATATTGGGAAGAACTTACATTAGGCCAAGGCTCCATCATCTCCTCAAGATTGGGCACACCCGTTTCTGGTTTCCATCTTACAGCAAGGCAGCTGGTCTTGCCAGGTTCCGAGGCAAACGGTCCGTCCAAGTCCACGACCGCACCAATGCATACCGCGATGCGTAAGGAGATTGTGGTAAGACGGCAAAAGTCGGCTTCTGACTTTGCACATGCAAGAGATGCGGCAGTCAAGAAGCCAGTACAGAAACCTTGTGAACCAGAGCTCGCCAAACTCTCAATGAGGCGTCGGTGACCATGAAGGGGAGCCTTAGAGTGGGTGTAATGCAGATATTGTATGCTATGAATAAGAACAGTCATGGGAGTAACCAGTGTGTTGAGCGTGGTGTCATCCCGTGAAACAGGTTCATCGTAGATTAACCAGTCTTTGAGTCGTTTGAGAAGACGCGCACCTGGAACCTGGGCAAGGAGAGGTTCGGCTTCGACGAGAGTATTCCAAAACCCCGGGAGTTGCTGGACTGCCTCTGACAAGGGTCGGAGGTATGGTTCGTTGAGCAGCGTTCGGAGCCGGGAAAGTTCTTCGGCTGCAGGCCATGCCGTCTGTGGCCCGAAAATAATAAGGCTTGGGAGATCCATCAGGGAACAAAGACTGTTGAGAGTCTTGACTATTTCTTAATGTGAGGGATAACGAGATAGATATCAGTATAATAATGCCTGCAAATAGTCAGCTCGTATTTCATGTATTACTCGGGTCCAAATACTTTGCGGCGATCGGACCCGATTTTGGGTTGGAAAAGCCGAGTCGATAGATCAATCCGTCTGACCGGTGCAATCATTGTCGATAGCATTGTAAGCCTGCATTCTCACGTACGCATGCGGTGGTAATGCCCTTAACCGTTAGGGGTGATTCGCCGTCCGGCGAGATAGAAAATAATACAAGTAGCCCCACGAAATACTTTTTGTTTAGTTATAAAACTTAATCCTAAACATAGACGGAGAGAGATCCTAGAACGTAGATACTATAAATGCCTTCATTGGCTTTTGCCCTAAATCGTACGAGCATCATTACTGGTAATCTCGCTTTGTGGCGATGGAAGTTATTATTTGTTAGTTTTGAAATATTAACTCACGAACTGAAAGGATACAAGAAGGGTTTCATGTTTACGTACGCATGAAACCACAGCCGGGATCCTAGATAACTGCTTAAATCTGAAGAATTCAAAAAGCAACAAAGAGATTACGAGATGTACTTGTGCGGCTGAAAAGAGGCCAGCCGTGTAACAATAATCATATGCGTATAAGCAATCCTATACTACGTTCCATCTACCCAAGAAACCCGCTCCTGCGCCAATAGTCTACATACCGCCCAATGATGTCACTTTCCAAGACATCTGCTGCCTTGAGCGTCGGGGATACATCTCTACTTCTGCTTGTGTCAAGGATAACACTTCCTCCTGACATCCGATTGAAGTGTTCTTCGAAGAATTCCGAAATCTTGAGTGCAGGGCAGCTATCGACCTCATTGATCGGGACCTTTGACAATCTCTCTAGCCATTGCGTATAGGGAACAAGCTCCAATGGTTTAGCAGTGACGTGAGCGGCCAATATGGCTAATGTATCCTGCCATGACTGGCGAACTGGGTTTTCGACGTGATAGATTCCATTGATCGGTGATTTGGAGAGCATGATGTCGGCAATGACGTTTGCTGCATGATCGACCGGGATCCAGGAGAATGTCTAGGGTAAGTATTAGTATTAGTCTGGTGCATGGATGCTAGACTTACTCCGCCAATGATCGGAAGAGCCCCAATCTTTTGGGATGACTTGAGCAACGCTGGGAAATGCTCTTTTTCGTTCCAATATCCCGTCTTACTGCATCCTGATATTTGACCAAAGCGGAGAGAAACCGCCTCAATATCAGAGTTGAAGATCTGGCTTTGCTGAACAATCTTCTCGCACACCAGTTTCGCATGGCCGTAACCAAGCCCACCGGCACACGATTCTATACCAACCGGTAGCTCCGGAACTATCCGGTCACCATGTACGGTAGAATATTCGCCAACGGCCGAAATGGAAGACACAAACAGGAAGCGAGTCTTTGAACTTCCGCCATTTGGTCTGGCGTCTCGGGCAATTTGGAGGAGGTTTTTCAAAGCAACAAACTGGGGCTCGAACGAGATCAGGGTCCGTTTGAAATCCATCGGCCATGCGCTGTGGACAACATGTGTGACGTTTCCCAGGAGGTATGAGTATTCGTTTTCTCCCAATCCCAGAAATGGCTCTGCGAGGTGTCCATGAAGAGCTCTGATTTTCGACCAAGATGAGTGTGGGAGAACAACCTCTTTTGCCTCCAATGCTTCTTTGAGTCGATCCTTTGGTGATTTTGGGCCGGGCCTATCTAAACAGATGACCTCAGACACTTCAGGGAGCTGGGCTAGGTGTGCGACAAGGTGCGAACCTAGACTTCCCGTGCAACCCGTAAGCAAGACGACTATCGGGGCTGCCCACAGTGAGTATTTCTGAACCAGCTGCTCCACTCTCGTCGGCATATCCAGAACTTCCGAGCTTCCATCGCTCCGTCTTCGAAGTGCTACAGCAATCTTGTTGACTGAAGGATGCTCGTAGATGAAATTTCGCGTTACGAGACTTTTAAGCCATGGAATCCTGGTAGAGTTGGCCAGGATAAGCCGACGCAAGTGCATCGCTTTTAAAGAATCCATACCAAGCTCAAAAAAATCCTGGTAAATGCCCCACTCCTCTGGGGACAATTTCCAGTTCAGCTTGCTTTGAATCAAGTCCTTCAAACTCTGTTCTGCATTCTCCAAATCCAATGGCTGAGTGGGAATTTCCAGAGCCGACTCATCAAGATTATTGACAACGTCGGATATTTGCTGTTCAAAAAGCTTGAGCGCTTCCGTGCGCCGGATAGCGCCCTTGTCGGAGCGAGGCAATGGAGTATCTGCCAGGATTATGAGGTCTTGAGATACAATCCTTGCGTGGTGGTCTAGACGGCTGTTGATGTTCTCGATGTGAGACCAGATTCGTGACTTGCAATGTTCTGGATCTTCAGAAAGTGCAGCAGGTGTAGGCTCGACGATTATGCCAATTTGCAGCTGGCGGTCTCCGAAAGCGAGAGCTCCTTTCACATCCTTACACTCACATACTGCAGACTCCAAATTACTAGGAAGGACCTTTTCTCCAGTTGCCAGAACAATAAGAGCGTCAGACCGACCTACGGCTTTGAAATCCGTGCTCGGGTGATTAGGATCAGGTACCATTGCGTCTTGGACTTCGAAAACATCATCCCATCCAAAAGGCTGTACGGTGAGATGATATGTTGGCGGTGTTGCGTCTTCTGATACAGGGACCATTTTGATATCCAAGTCACTCCTAAACCTGAAGTATTGCCAATTGTAGGGCGCATCCGGAACAAAAATCAGAGTAAGAGGGCCAGTCTCCGTAGTGCCGAATGCATTGAGAATTCTGACTCCCGCATCTGCGAATTTGTCACCCACAGCTTCCTTTAGGGCTCCTCCGCCGCAGAGAACGAAATCAAGGGTTTTCAAAACATCAATGCCTTGGTCTTCGGGGAGCTGGCAGATTTCTTCCAATATCGATGGCACCGACATCAAAGACTGCGCTTTGGTGAGTTCGATAAGCCGCGCAGTGGAAGACCCGGTCGGAACTCTCGAGGGAGGAAAGATGCAGAACGTCTTCCCGACAGCAAAGGATAAGATTGGTGAGACAAGTCCGAATCCCTAATAAAATTAGTCCATTGCTAGATTACGGAGAGTTGAAACATTCAGTACGTCTCAAAGGCAAAAACTCACATGATAGAGGGGCAGCGTCGTTATGTTCAATCCCAACGATTGTGATTCGTTTTTGAACGTCGAGCACGTTGCGTATCCCAAGAAATATCTATGAGAAACGTATATCGCTTTTGGGTAGCCGGTGGTTCCGGAAGAATGGAGAATAAAGACGTTGCGATCCGCTTCGCCTACGTAGTGATCCTCCGTATGGACCGGGCTGGAATTTTGGCTCGCTGAATTATCAAGAAACTCTTTGTAGTTGACTTGGCGATAAATGGCGACTGCCTTGCTCGAATCGTCCTGAATTTTGCCGACCTCTTTGGCCGTATTCATCAGCTGAGGCGACGCAATCAATGCAGCGGCCTGCGTTTCGTTGAGAAGGTGAAGGATCGCATCCGTATTTAGCCGAGCTGAGAGTAACAGTAGCTGTATTTTATTAGTTTGTGGATCTTATAGATGGTTGTAGTACATACTGGGACTCCCAGGCTCATCAAAGCCATAATGTGAATGAGAATACCAACGTCGCTTTCCATCAATAAAGCAATTGGAGGCCCTTTGATCACTTCATTCTGTTCATTCCTTTGAGGCGTTTTGAGCTCTGGAACATGCTCTTGCAGCCATTGCGAGCAAGCCCGAACTGCGTCACTGAATTGTAGATGGCTTATCCGTTGAAAGTCTAGGCCATCCGTTTCATCGTTGCTCCGAGACTTTTCCGCCTGTATACAAAAGATGTGATTTGGGTTGTTGCGGGCATTGAATTCCAACAGCTCGGGAAGGGATCTAATCTCATCTTTGGACGGGTCTGTCGATCTCAAGTTGATCGTGGGAGGTTTGAAGGCTGTCATGACGACAGTGCGGCGCGCTGACTCGGTTGGCGTTTTGGTTGTATCTGAACAAGCCAGAGCGACAAAATATACTAGGCGCTTGTCAGCATTAGCATTGCGGGACCCGAGTTTAAATAGGCTCCAATTTTTCAAAGAATTTGTCCTGTCGCGAATGCATGGTTGAAAGCTGGGCCCGAGTTAGCGAATGCAAGGCGCCAAATAAGGCCATATGATGACAGGTTGAGGCCTGTACAACGTTACTGTGCAGCAAAAGATCCCGATGTTGGGGATACAACTTACAAGGCTTTTTATCAGCACGGTGAAGCCGAACAACCTACTCCACCCATGAATTTGAAGCATGTCGAGTCATAGTGCACCTGGAAGTTTCTAACAATTGGCTAGGAAATTGCTACGAAAGTATTTGCAATTGTTTTGGGCGCGACCTACATCTCCCTATGGAGTAATTTGAGACGCTTAGAAGATAAAGCCACCTACGTAAATGACAACGCTTAATACGAGAGTATATTCTAGATCTTTCTTTAGAGTAACCTTTATGGAACGTGTGAAAAAGGCTTCGAGTATACCTAAATACTTCTATAAGTAAAACAACGTTTCAAGTGCGGGGTGAATTGTTTTGCATTCGCTCCTACGAGGCATGACCTACCGTTGGTATGATGATATTATCCTTTTATCAAGCAATAGTAATTAGGGGGTTAAGGTGTATTTCTTTCTACCCCTAAAATCTATTATCAAGTTTAATTCCCGTATGGATGAGCATGGAAGTACAACTGGTATCTATCATAAGTATAATATCCCTCACACCTTTTCTACTACGTGCTTGCTCTGCATAATACGGCTAGCGGTAAGCAGACATCCCGAAACAAACATTGTAACACCGCAGAACACTTGCAACCATGTATAACCACCGTTATCGCTGTCGAGTAGAGCACCTCCGATTGGGTTTCCTGTCAAGCCGGCGAAGCTGGAAACCAAGAAAGTAGTTCCGACTCTAACACCAATTTGGCGGATGTCCGATATTTGCGCAACTAGTGTAGGCAATAGGGCGACGAAAGATCCCGATGCGTACCCGTAGACGGCGCTAAATGCGATCGTGGAAGCGTTGTTGTTCGCCGGAATCCATAGGCCAAGAACGAATGTTACCGAAATGATGACAGTTAAAATCATGACGTTAAACCGTCCATATCTATCAGCCGCCCAGCCAGATATCACACGACCGAAGAAACTATTTGAGATAAGCATTTACAAATACTAGAGCTGAAGACACTGACCTTGTAGCGTTCAAAATTGCGAGCTGGTAGCCCGCGAGGCGAGACGACATTCCGTTAGACTGTGCATAGAGAATCAAATAATTCATGGGGAGGAACATGCCCCAGAAAAAGAAGAAAGACCCAAGCGCAAGGAGTAAAAAGCGAATTTCTTTGAGAGGGCGCACGAAGTCGATGGGATTGAAAGGTTTGGGAACGTGATCCAGCCGCGACTTGCAAATAAGACAGGCTGGAACAAGTAATCCCAAAAGAAGAAATGCAATTGAGCGCACTGTCCAACCAAAGCTAACGCCATCATCGATCATATGGTTGAACATGATACTGTTTATGGTTAGTTCTATTTTGCGGTATGCGCAGGATGCACTTACGGGAGTAGCAGTCCACCCAGCGAAGACCCGCTTGCAACTATGCCCATTGCAAACGCACGACGCTTGAGAAACCAAGTTGTGGCAGCATTGCTGCTAGCGTAAAATAGAGCGCTCGCACCTAGCCCCGAGCAAATACTTTGCGCCAAAAAGAGCTGATAGTACTCTTTACCCAGGCTCATCATCATGAGACCAAAAACATGCATGAAGGTGCCGAACCACAACAGGCCACGCGACCCATAGCTGTCAAAAAGTTTTCCGAAGACCGGAGCCATAGCCTGCAGCATGAAAACTTCGGCGGACAGAATCCATGATATCGCAGAAGGAGAATACGTTCGCAACTGGTTTTGGGAGTAGTAGGTTTGGAAAATGCCGATGCTGCTGACCCAGCCAAATGATGTGAAGTTGCAGCACCATGCGCCCGCTACTGTGAGCCAGGCCGTCCAGCCACCGTCGGGAAAGTCTTCTGGCCGCATACCCGGAGGGGGTCTCTGAGCGGGCGGAATTTTCTCCACCACTGGTTCTGAATGAACATCGTTCGATGTTGAGATTGTGTCTTTTGAGCTCGAAGCAAGGGATGCCATTTTTCCGAATTTTGGTGCGATCGCTGACAGCTCCTTGACGGACGGGCGCGTGGGGTTGACTTTATGCTTTTATACTCTGACGACAAAGCAACAAAGCGGCAATAGTGAGCTTTAAGACCTAAGTCCGGAGGTCTACGGATCCGTATATGCGATGCGATGATTGAATTTCGACTCAGCTAATCAACCCGAGTTAGGCGCGGACCCGAGTTTGTACTACACTGATGCACGTGATGGCTGCGTTTTAATTGGCTATGCATCAGACCTACAGTCGGTACGGATTCTTAATCGGCACACTGTGGCAGTGTAGATAATATGGCAGATGCTGTGGCTGAATGGTGCGGTATAGGGAGCGGGAATGAAAACTTGGTATAGGTAAATTAAAATCAACTTCGACTAGTAACAGAGGCACGTAACATTTATCACCGCGAACCGAGATCCACTATTAAGAGGGATAGTAGACTATATAAGCAATTCCTACAGAGTAGTCCTTGCCTAGCTATTAGACCAAGTCTCGAGTATAGGTGAAAGCTGAAAAGGTCTTGGTGGTCTTAGAGCACACAAAACTCTAATATCTTAACTGGGTCCCTTCTACTCTATACAAGTACCACAACTTTGCTTCACGGTAAGGGACGTTATATAGGTGTAAAGCTCTAAGCACTTTAAATTCTACCTATCGCGCTTTTAATAAAAAATAACTAAAATACATGTACGATAACCCGGTTACTTTTAAATTAGATTACGGATGCCGGGCCAGTTCAAGTTTTTCGCCTTCCGTTTTGGGATTAGACGGATAGAGGGATTGCTACCTCAGCAACGGCCCCAGCATTAGGCGTCTTTTTAGGTCTTTCCCTAGCCTAGGGTGCCTAAATTGGGGGCTCTAGGCCTAAAAAAGCCCTGTAAAAACAGGCCTTACGTAGCCTCGTTACCACGGTAACACCCCTGCACCAGGTCTGTCCCAAAAAGGAAGGCGAAAAACTTGAACTGGCCCGGGATCCGTATAGCCCGCGGAATAGCTACCCGGATCATTAGCTTTTAATTAAATTCTCTTAATATACGGTAAACCTCACTCCACGGCGAGCGACCTTGGGAACATTAAAGTACTAGGGCACCCACTATTATACACTCAACAACTCTAATCGATAGACGCTCGCACTGATAGCCTTATTCGTTTATAGTCTCCTAAACATTATTGGATAAGTTTCTAAAATGGCCCCCATGTTTCTAAAACGGCCCCCATCATGGCCGGGCTGCGTAAGCTTTTACCCAACGATCGTCCTCTTGATGCCAAAAAGGAATTTTCACATTAGATACATAAGAAGGGGACGTGAGCCCATTATCATTATCATCGTGTGAAATTTCCACTGCCCCTTAACCAAATATTCCGGCAACTGTCCAACTGCATGATGGAAAGCCAACAGCGTCAGTCAGGCGACCAATACCCCGAGGGGGGTGAGCGCCCGAGTTGGGACCCATCTTCCGGTCGCGTTTCACCGATCGAATTTTCTGGTCCATCTCACGATGCATACCAACCTGTTAGGGAAGGATTGGACACACCTCCGATTTACCCCGTGAAAGAGCAGGAGCAGCCTCCCACTTCAGTTGTACCTCAACAGCGAACAGTCAGCGATCTTTGGCTGTGGGAGATTGTGAGTAACTTCATCAGCATTGCCTGTATCGTTGTTATAGCGGTCATCTTGTCTGTCTTCGACGGCAAAGCACTGTCACAATGGCAACCTCCCATCAAACCAAACGCGTTAATCTCCATCTTCGCAACTATCGCTAAGGCTACACTGCTTTTGCCGGTTGCAGAATGCATCAGTCAGATCAAGTGGCTCTACTACGGCAAGGAATATCGTTCACTTGTCGATGTTCAATGCTTCGACCAAGCAAGCCGCGGGCCTTGGGGCTCGCTGATGTTTCTGTGGCGGTTCAGAGCAAGATCGCTCGTTGCAAGCTTTGGATGCTTGATTACGATTGTGTCACTCGCCGTGGATCCTTTTACACAACAGATTATCAGCTATCCGGAGCGTTCAGTGTCATTAGGAAACACGTCTGCATCTGTTAATGCCGCACGAGTGTATGACACGGGGCTGACAGCTTCGCAGCACAACATGTTTTGTACGTAGTGTGCTGCAAATCGGATATTCTTCGCTGTTACAAAGTCTATTCTAACGTAATCTCAGCTCAGTACATGGATGTCGGCATGCAGGCTGCAATTCTTAGCGGCCTCTACGGTGAATCCTCTACTGTCAGCCATTATTGCCCGACTGGAAATTGCACATGGCCAGACATAACTTCGCTGTCTGTTTGCAATAGTTGCTCCAATGTTACGACCAGCACTAACAGGACTTGCAACTCATCCGGACAAGCAAATGTCTGCCAATTCACAACTCCCGCAGGCCATGAGATGCAAGCCAAGTCAGGTGTCAAAGGGGCAGGCGTCTACAATACGTTGATTAATGCTTCTACAGTTAATCTTGCACGTGGGAGCACTGCAGACATTCTCAGCTTTGGTGCCATCATATTGGAAGAATCTCAAGAAGCTTTCGAGGTTCCTCTGGCCGAAGCATACGACTGTTCATTCAGGTGGTGCGTGCGCACATACAGCGGATTTAATATCTCGAGCGGCGTCATCAACTCCGGCACACACACCAGCAACGATCTCGAGTATGTCGAGGATATAGGCGACGTCGCTCAACCAAACGAAGCAGATGACGGGGTATACGAAGTATTCCAAATACCCGACAACGTGTCCTGGACGGGTAATCGAACCTATGTTATCAACTTTAAAGACGAACAAACCACGGGAGCCTTCATGGCGACCTTGTTCGATGTGGGGCTCTACAGTCAAAGAGCATACACTGAGAGTTTAGAAGGCGTTCGCATCGACTACACGCTATTCAAGAGCAGCAACTTTACTCGAACGATCGATAACATTGCGAACAGTATGACGACCCGCGTGCGCAATGGAAAGAATGCTACAGGCGCATCAGGAGAAGCCTGGAAAAACGAGACCTTCATCAAGGTCAGCTGGGCATGGTTTATATT